TAAACTAAGAAACTTGGATCCCCAATTTGCAAAGGTCTCTCCTGCCTCTGCTCTGATGCTCACTCTGCCTGCAACACCACTGCCTGCAATTCTTGTTTCTTTCATCATCTTCTCCCCTCTCTTGCCTCTCTCCCCTCTTTCTGGAAACATTGGTTAGCACTTGGACAACTTAGATGGACAGATCCTGTTGGAGAGCGATAGGCAGTAAACTACCTGTTTTGTGGGAGGCCCCAGATGTCAGTGTAGGAGAAAATATGCTCTGGGTCAGGGACCCTCCAGTTTCCTGTGGGGTGGGGATGGGCAGGATTAGAATAAGCCTAATGGTAGGGGCTGGGGACACCTGTGAATGCACCGACAGTTGTTTTACCCCCTGCCTAGTTCCTCATATCTCTGAATTGTAAGCACCTCCAGAGAATGCACATAGGTCTCATCCTGGACAGGGACCTGCTTGGCTATGAGGGTTGTTCACCTGGGGGCTCTTCCTCCTCACACCACACTGTGCCCTCTGCTCACTTCTGATCAGTGCACTCACTCCCTCTTTTGGTAGACGATAAACCAGAAAATAGCCAGTGTGTCTGGTGATATGTGTAATGGGCAAAAGAGCCAAGTCAGGGAGATGGGAATGGGGGCTTCTGGGCACAGGGTGGCCAGGGCACAGGCCTGCAGTTGCAGGTACCTGCTGTGTCGCAGCAACAGTGTAAGTAAGGGTCACAGAAGATGAAGCGAGTGGAGATGGGAGTCAGACGCATGAGCTCCTAAGGAGGCTGTCAGTGCAGGTGTGTGTCAGCGCTGAGCTGATGGAGAAGGGAAGGTTTCGGTGGTGAGATGCCCATTTGGAAGAACGCATGAGGGGCCGACATGAGAATGAAACAGCAGGCACCAACTTTATTGCAGGGAGCGTGCTTCTGTTGCAGGGAGCACGGTTCTATTGCAGGGAACATGCTTCTGCTCCGGCTCCGACAGGGGAACACGTGGGCTCCACATATGTCAGAGTACAATAGTGGCATTCAGCCACATGCCTGATACAATAAGCTGAATCATGTTTACATATTTTAGGCGCAGGCGCCCTACTACACTAATGTAACATTCTATATCCAGGGTCCTATTCCTAGCCATGAGCCTGGATCGCAGCCAGATCTGGGACCAGCCAGGCCTGGGACCCACACTGTGTGCATGCCAGCATCATCTTGGCAAGAGCGGAGCAGGAAATGGGCAGTGGCCCAGGGCTGCTGGCCCCATGAGCAGGTTGAGTCTGCCTGGGCTCTGTCTCTACCATAAGCCATGTCGGGGGGACAGAATTAAGGGCCCAGGGCATAGCAATGTCCTAAGCAGAGAATGCTCCATCCTAACTCCTCCCAGCCACCCCAGCCATGGGCAGGCTCCAGCACCCATCCAGCAAGGCCAGTATCTGGGAATTCAGCAAGGAGTGAGTCCACCTCACTCAGGACCCATGTGGTGTACAGGGAGTTGTGGGGTAAGCGTGAGGCCCAGCCTGGGGGCTCAGTCAGCCCCTCTTGCTCCACTAGAGAGCTGGAACAGGGACCAGAAGGCTCATATGCATCTCCTGGAACCTACCAGATACTCCAGCGCAGACAGCAGCACCTTCTGTGACCTCTCAGTGACCCCGTCTATGGGGCTTTATCCCTCAAACACCAAGACCTCTGACAAAATCATTTCAGTTGTCTAACCAGGCACAGGGCACCTCTCATTATGGGTCTTCTAGTCAGCCAGCAAGTCAGACCATCTCTGGGCTATGAACAAAGGAATCTGGAAAACAGGTGGCCTGCCCCCTCAGGCAGGGCTCCCCTCAGTCCTGGCTCTCCAGGCCCCGGCTGTAGGTCACTGGGTGACCTTTACTCTCTGAGCTGACATCCATACAACAGCCAAGGGCTTCTGGGAAGTCCAGCTTGGCCTCCTCAGGGCCTTCAGGCACCACATTGGGACTGGTTAGCATTCTTTCTCCAGTGCACAGGGAACTGTGAGGGTCCTGGGACAGCTGGGGCTCTGCCAAGTCCATCCCTCATGGGGTGGTGGCAAGTGCTGACTCAGGGCCTCAGGCTGAAGCAACTGCAGAAAGACTGCAAACTGCTGGCACAGATGCCAGGGAGGGAGCTCTACTGTACATGCTATTTTCTTGCCCTCAGGTCACCTTTGGGACCAAGTTGAGCCCCACATGGCCTTGGCCAGGGTTTGTCACTTGACATATCACACTCTGGTTTTCTGTGTCCAGGAGAAACTGCCACACTTGCCTCTTTCTGTGGGGGAGGTCTTTGTAGCCCAGCTTTCCTGTGGAGCCTGAGGGCAGAGTGCAGGACCCAGCTGGGCATGGCAGTGGACACGGTATGTGCCATCAGGTTGCACTTGGAGCTTGTTTATGCATATGTTTCTAGGCAGTTCCTATGTCTATTGCTGTGTCTGCCTGTCTGTCTTGGCCTTCTTAGAAGCGGTTGTGGTGGTCAGGATTTATAAAGATCTTATAGTTGGTCTGTAGGAAGTTGACCCTTAGATGAATTGACCTCCCTGGTCCTGGCCACATTTAAGGGCTTTCTGTGGCCAGAGGCCACCAAACCAGGCTCTGCCCCCCCCCAACCCCCAGCGTTGAAGCCACTGAAGGCCTCTAGGCAGCTGCTTAACCTATTGGGACTTGGTGACCTCCACTGGAGGCTGAAGATGCTGTGTGAGGTGACTGCCCTGAGACACTTCCTCAGTCTTGTCCCCAGAGAGGCACTATGGCCCTGCTTAGTGCACACACAGAAGCCAGCTCCCTGCCTGCTCACTCCCTACCCCAGGGTGAGCTGAGAAGTCACTGTCAAGTCACCACTGTGACAGAGGCCCCAGAAGGAGCCATGTCTGCAGCATGAGGCTTCCCTAGGAGGTGGCACTGGCTAAGGTCTAGAGGATGAGCCAAAGTCAGCAGATGAAATAGAAAGAGAAGAGGACACTGCCATGCAAAGGCCCTAGGGTATCTCCAGGAGCCAGCAAGAGGGCTGAGAGGAGGTCCCAGTAGTCACAGGGTGGTTGGGAGGGCACAAGTGGACCTTTGTTCTTCTCTCAAGGGTGGCAAGAGCCAGTGAGGTATGCAGGTGTGTTCCATGGGAGCCGAGGGTTCAGATTTGGGCCACAAGCTACCCCGTCTGGAGGGGCTGCTGCAGAGGCCAGGAGCAAGTAGTCACTGCCAGGGCTGGGGTGCAGCATATGGGGAGGATGCTTCTAGAGTAGATGAGGGTCCATCAGGCTCACCCCTTGACCTAGCCCAGACAGCAGCTGGGAAAGTAGAGCCAGGACCTGAGGTGGAGAGTGCAGGTTTCAGGGTGGAAAATCAAAGGTGGAAAAACTTAGGCTTCAGGGTGGGGTCAGGAGTCAAGATACTGTACATCTTGATCTTTACTCCCTGCTAAGAAAGAAGTTCTGACTCCCTCCCCCAGCCTTCAGAGGGCCCTCATCCCCTGGGGTGCCCTCTGTCCAGACCCTGTCCCCACTGTCTGCTGGAGCCTCTCAATGATAGGGCCTAGGTCTGCCTTGCCCAGCCCCCAGTGGCACAGTGCCAGCCCTAGGTGCCACAGGGACTAGACTGTCCAGTGACTGACAGCTGCCCTGTCTCTTTCTCAGCAATCTGCACATAGCAGTACCAGTCTTCCCATCTGTCCCCTAGAGCCATCAGCTAGTGGCCTCTCCTGCCTGGGCCCTCCTGGGGGGCCCCGAGCCCCTTAAAGGAGGTGCTTTAGAACTGCTACCCCTGTGGTTTTCTGGATGTGCACCCTTTAGGCTGGAGTGATCTCCATTGGTACCCCGCAACCTTTGCCCTTGCCCGTTACCATGCCCAATCCACAGGTTCCCCTTATCCCTGGTCAGTTCAGGGCAATGCCTACAGACCACTTAAAGTACTTCATGCCCCCGAGGCTCTCCCAGAGGGCAGTGTAAGGGATGGTAGATCTTATTGGGCAGTGTGGGTATACTTCTATGTTGCCATCTGGGTCGTGCTGGGGATGGGGGTGGTCCAACCTGGATCTTCTCTCCCCAAGAGTGGTGTGTGGGGCCAAGTGGGCTCCTGCTGCCCACTCTCAAAGACATGCTAGGCTGGCCTGGCACCAACCCCTCCATGTACAGTCAGCCAGCTCTGCCAGCCCTGGAGGAGGGGCCTCCAAGAATAGCTGCCAGCCCCCCACCCAGGGTGGACCCACATACACCAGGCCTGTCAAAAGAACATCTGACAGCCACCCCATGTCTCATGGTGTCCCTGGTGCCATGCAGCCAGGCAGCATACCCTGCAGGGCTGTGAATCAGAGCCTGTCACGAGAGTGGGAAAGGGCCAGAGCCTCCCTGAGTCATTTCTTCCATGGTACAGTCACTCCCTTATGTACAGTGGAAAGGTGGCATTTTGGGAGATGCTTGGCTCTGGGGAACTGAACAGTTCTTGGGAGACAGTACAAGTTGCAAATGATAGCTCACTAGGGGTCCTGGGCTGAGAGTCTGTGGTGCCCCTACCCTGCCGGGCCTTGCTGGAGACTGGGGTGCGGTGTGCCCTGGAGGAGGCCACTGAGTGCCTTATGCTAAGTGGCCCCTTGGGCAATCCTGAGCCTGCCGCTGAACAGCTCTTTAAGTCACTGGTTCTAGGTGGCATGGCCTCTGAGGCCATCCTGCTTCACCCCCAGCACAGCAAAGCCAGGTACAAGGTATGAGCAGGCAGGAAGGCATGCCTGGGGCTCAGGGGAAAGCCCCCAGAGGAGACCTTGGACTTTTGGGAGGGCACTGAGGCTGGGCACTGCAGGGTGCTGAGATGATCATCCTGTAGCCATGATGGTGGTTGGGTTTCTCATTCAGAAGTAGCCATTTTGATCTCAAAATCACAGGTGAAGTCACTTGTCTAGGGTACCACAGTGTAGACCCCAAGCAGTTAGACTTGGGATTCCAGCCCCTTCCTTCCTTCCTCCCACAAGGATCCCTGCACATGCCAACCGCCCTGCACCCTCACCTTACCCCATCTCCCCGTCTCATTGCAGGAAGTTCTACTACATCACCCTGCTGCGAGACCCTGTGTCGCGCTACCTGAGTGAGTGGCGGCACGTGCAGCGGGGGGCCACATGGAAAACATCTCTGCACATGTGTGATGGGCGCACGCCCACACCTGAGGAGCTGCCGCCGTGCTATGAGGGCACAGACTGGTCAGGCTGCACACTGCAGGAGTTCATGGACTGCCCCTACAACCTAGCCAACAACCGCCAGGTGCGCATGCTGGCTGACCTGAGCCTGGTGGGCTGCTACAACCTGTCCTTCATTCCCGAGGGCAAGCGGGCCCAGCTGCTGCTGGAGAGCGCCAAGAAGAATCTGCGGGGCATGGCCTTCTTCGGGCTGACAGAGTTCCAGCGCAAGACGCAGTACCTGTTTGAGCGGACGTTCAACCTCAAGTTCATCCGACCCTTCATGCAGTACAACAGCACAAGAGCAGGTGGTGTGGAGGTAGATGAGGACACTATTCGGCATATCGAGGAGCTCAACGACCTGGACATGCAGCTCTATGACTACGCCAAGGACCTCTTCCAGCAGCGCTACCAGTACAAGCGGCAGCTGGAGCGCAGGGAGCAGCGCCTCAAGAGCCGTGAGGAGCGCCTGCTGCACCGCACCAAAGAGGTGCTGCCTCGGGAGGACACTGAGGAGCCGGGCCGGGTGCCCACTGAGGACTACATGAGCCACATCATCGAGAAGTGGTAGTGGCAGCCCTATGGGGAAGGCCCCTCAGAGGCAGTCAGGAAAGGGCAGGTGAAGGCATACAGACCAGCACACATAGGCCCACCTAGAACTCATGGGAAGAGTCCTAGATCCGCTCAGCAGAGGGTAGAGGCATCCTGAACAAAGACCAGGGAGTAGGAAGTGGTGGCCCGCTGGGGTAGGTTCTCACTATTTCTCCCAGGCTGGAGGTCTGAGAAGCCAACTTGTACTGCCCCCTGGCTCAGATGAAAGCGTACTTGAAAGACGCCCCAGTCAAGCCTGCACAGACCAGGGGCAGGTGGTGTTCCTCTTCTGTACGCCCCCATCTCACTGTCACAACAGCCCAGAGTTCAAAGACAAGAAAAAGACAGTAGAGCTGAGTGGGGAGTGGCTCTGCCAGACCAGGAATGTATCCCTCTCCCACTATGCACATATCCACTTACCCCCAGGCCCCCCCCCCAACCCCGCACAGGCCAATGGGGTTCCCCAGGCTCAGGCCATCTCAGCGGCCTCTCAGCAACCCCTGGCCCCCTTGCCCCAGGCCTTTATGAAGCCCCCTCCTTGGGGGCATGGGCAGCCATTTGACGTATTGTCAGGAATGGAGCCCCATGCTTACCCGTCTTCAGTGTTGGGAGCCATTCATCGTGTGAAGCCAGGAAGACTCTAGTCCAGCCATTGGGAAGGCCCCTTCCCTCTCTGGCTTCCTGCTTTGCTTCAGGAGATCAGAGCCCCTTCCGTCCCATTTTCCACAGTCCTCAGACTGAGGAGCCTGTGGAGAGATGGTAACCCCTGGGACTTGTTAGTAGAATGCCCCTGCCCCAAGCCCATCGCTTGGACATTTATTCAGGGTTCATACTCCACTGCTCCCACCACCCCATGAATAAAAGTCCAATTAAGTCTCTTGGTGGGAAGACGGCAGACCATAGCTGCTGCCAATGAGCCATACCTCTGGGCTGTGGCGCTTCTGGATGGCCAGGGAAGGGGACACAGGCTTTCAGGTTCTCAGCTCAGATTGGATTGGAAGAAATGGCTCTGGGCAGCTTCCTGGCACCTAGATTCACAGCCTTCCCCTTCCCAGGGCTCTCTCTGAATTTCCCTGCCTCAACCCCCACACCCCACAAGCAGGTAAAGCCCTGTTTCCAGCAGCCCTGGAGGTTGGAGAAGCCATATTCCATATCTGTTGTAGACACTTTCCCCATACAGTCTCCTGTACTAAAGGAGGCCAGGCTAGTATCTCATCTGGGCATGCCCTCCCCAAATGAGGCCCAAGACTTGGGTTCTGGGGAGCTGAATGTGAGCCCTACATTGAGGTGGATGGGTACCCCATCTCTCCAGAACAGGAAGCACATGTGCCTGGAGGCCACAGGCCTGCTTCAAGGAGAGCAGTGAGGGCCATGGGCCACCTGGTGAGGGGGCTGGCAAAGACAGCAGCCTCACAGGCAGATCCAGCCAGTGGGGTTCCCTGCCCCAGGTCCCTCTGCCACCCCAGCTGTCCCACCAGGTGGTGAGGAGCTAGGGGAGCAAGGAACCTTCCATAGCTCAGGAAAAGCTAAGTTGTGTCCAGTGAGGTAACTGTGGGAGGAAGCAGCTTTAGTCTGTGCTAGTCTGGCATAAAGGCCCCACCCTACAGCTTCCTACACTGGCCACTTCATCTCATAGTCCAAGGGCAGAGAAGTCAGCAGGCCAGAGTGGGCACATCATGCTGGAGAGGCAAGAACCCAGGTGATTTAATGGCTCTGTTAAAGGGAAGTGAAGAACAGCGTGGGGGCAGGGGGCATCTACTCAGATGCTCAGCATCTGGGGCAGGCGTGCCCTAGGGTGTTCACAAGAGCTCTGGGGGCTTGTGGGCTCCCATCAGAAGGTTGGTCACCTCAAGGGCATAAGTGGAGAGCTCAGGTCCTTTCTTCCTGAGGCCTGGCTCAAGACATATCCTTGCGGCCTGGTTCCTGCATATGCAGGCCTATGCATTGGATCTGTTCTGTACATATTGGGATGTTTTGACTTACGGCCCTTTATCCCAGTTCACACAGAAACACGGGTCTCCCAGTTTCTTTGCTGCATCTAGAAAGCAGTAGTCCTCAGGCCAGCACCCAGGCTGAGGTGCCCCACTGGTCCTACCGGTCTCCAGTCTGACAGCTCCACTTAGACCACCTGCTTTGGGGTCAAGGTTCCTTGTGCCTACAGCATCTCCTCTGATGAACTCCAGAGACGGGACAGGGCAGCCCTACCCAGGGGCTCTTCCCAGGGCTGAGAGGACAAGCAAACACACAGTGAGAGAACCACTCACTCCCCACACAGGCCTGCAGTGTCCTCTCCTGGAGGAGGAAGCAGGGATGACAGAATTGCCTAAGCAGTGAGTCTGTGAACTTTCTGGGAACTGGAAGTGTTTAACTTGAACCCAGGAGCATTTAAAGCTTTATTTATTTATAGCTTCTTCTAAAAAAAAAAAAAATGTTGAGAAGAAATTTTTTTGGTTATTCAAACAAAAAATGAGTTGATGGAAAAGCAAGTCATAATCATCTAATCGTTTTTTGTCTAGGGCAAGAGTGAATGTTAGCAGATGAAATAAACCCTGAAAAAGAACCTATGGCGTGCTGTGGTCTGTGCTGACATAGTAGTCCACCCAGCATGGTGTGGCAGGGGCGTCCTCATTTGGTTTTAAAAATGAGCATCTACGAGCACAGGACTCGGTGCAGAAGCAGAGAGACTTCCCTCAGGTGCAGGTATCCCAGTGAAGGAGAAGTTAACACATTTTGTGAAGGTAAAATATGATTATCATTGCTACAAAGAATAACTTATTAAGTATTAACTGCAATACTTGAAAAAAACCCAGCTGAAAGGGTGAGAGAAATGCAAACGTCATGTG